GCTTCTAATCCATGAATTCTATCACCATGTTTGCCAATAAAAACATAATAACTAACAACTAAAATTATAATTACCTTTTTCGAACGCATTTTCTTCGCGGTCAGAGATGCCGGTTGCTTATTAGGTGGTGTTTTTTGGGGGCTAACCACGGATTTCCTCTTGCTTCTACGTTCGGACGTATCTTCCACATTGATTACCAACTTCGCGGCCTTCGACTTCTCCATTTCAGATGTCCACAGAGATTTGGGTGAAAACGGCGGAGAGTATTATTCACTGCTTGATGTGGCCGGATGTGGCTTGTATTCTAAGTTGCCGGAAGTGAGATCAATGAGCGGTGTAGACGATTGAGAGAGTGGGAGATAGATGAAAAAGCGAAATTCCGGCACACTTGAGAGGAACCGTGTAGAGGATTGAGAGATTGGGAGCAAGAGAGTGAGAGATATATGAAATGGTTTATTATGGAAGTTATTATAATTACAATTCAAATTGCGATATTTAAGAGAACACAGCAGTTGCAATACATATCGTTGGAAAACTAAATTATAATTTTATATTTAAATATATAATAATTAAATTAAAACCTGAGATTTGCATAAACAATTTCGATGGCTGAATCTTGCACAGTGATCTCCAAATGTCGGGAATTCTATAATTTCCACTTGAACTTATATATATATGTACTGACTAAATCTGAGCTTAGTTGAGTAGGACTGTAGTCCGAGCCTGAATCCGTCCCTTTCAATATTAATTATTATGATTATGAAGGCAAAAAAGTAACAAACATCATGTTGGTAACAATATGATGATACAGATGATAAAAAGCTGGCCTGCAATCCCTTTATCTGAATGCCACTATAAAAATGCTTAATTTGGAAGCAATCCAAAGTTAGAATTTTTTTTTTATTTTTTATTTTTTGCAAATAAATTGTTTGTCCTCATGGGATGGGATACAAAAGGACTTTATGTATTAATTTTACATAATATGAACATCTTTATGTATTTAGTGTGATCAGTTTTTGATAGCGCGGAAGTGAAAAAATAAATAAATGAACAAACTAGCGAAATACCATTATAGTCCCTATCAGTAATATAGATCAAAGATGTGTGGTTAATATTATGGTAATTTCCCTAATGTCCCCAACCTTCTAAAATTTTGCATGCAATATCCAACTTGATGAAATCTTCTATTTAAGATGTGAAAAGACCATGTGACAGGCACGTGATAAATGACCAATGAGTATAGCTGTTCATAAATAACTTCCATCATTTTGAAGAAATCTTTGATACATATGTACCTAGGAAATATACTCTAAATTTATACTTCGCAAAAGGCGGATCGCCCACTTAGTAATATTGTCCGTTTTTTACAATCATTATTTCAGAACTTTATATATGTATACACACACTCATTTTCATTATATATTCACACTATAAAATATTCTACATGTAAATTCAAAATTTTTCTCTACTTTAAAACCATACATTATTTTAAAAAATCATTATTCAAAATTTCATTTTACCCAAATAATGATATTCAAATGGGCTTAAAAATGGAGGAAAATTACTTTTGGATAATTATATCAACTTGTAATTTATCACCTGCCTATTACATGTCTTTTTATCATCTAAATAGACAATTGTCATTGGATTGGGATGTCGTCCTTGTAATTTTAGACGGTTGAGATAATGTAATACAAATACAAAAGCGAGGTAACTAGAGGAATTTATTCTTCATATTATTGTGTCAAAAATATACATTGTCCCTATTTAATATGGATTAAAATCTAAATTTTAATTGAAGTTAAAATCAACAATTTATTTTAACTACATATGATTTATAACTTTTCGATCACACATCATCAGTTTTATAAAAAATTATAAAAAATTTGATTTTAATTCCTATCAAATTGAGTCATTTTGTTTCACTCGCAAAAAAAAAGTATGTAAATTTTGAAGAATTAGCTTTTATGACCATTAACCAATTGACACACTATTTGACTTGCCGCTCTTTTTTTATGAGTTTGTTTGCTTGGAAAAGATTCGAGATTTTAATTGCTCTAATGAATAATTAAAGAAAATAGTTCAATGGAAAGAGAAAGCATCATAATATAATGGTAAAGATTTCTATAAGTCATGAAATAAAATTTGTAACCTATAAAATTAGAAAAAGGAAGAAGTCAAATGTGGAAACATCTTTAACTCGAAGCACCATGGTGTAATTTAAGCCATAATCTTCGATGTACGCCGTCGTTTTATCCTTCCCTAATTGCATCTGCCTTAAACCTTGTCTGCAATTCTTGGGGTTTTCCCCTTGTAATTCTTGATCAATCTCACCGTACTTTATCAAAGAATGTCGTTAACAGTACTAAAAAGATTGCGAAACCAGAAATCATCACTTATATTCAATAACCCCAGTCTCAAAATTCACTTATTTACCCATTTCTACTCTCCTCTCTCTGAACCCCACTATCAACATTCTACTTCGATTTATAATAAGTCAATTCTAGCATCCGGGCATGTTTTTCTGTGTAATAGAATTAATTGGTTTTCTTCACTTTTGCGTGAAAAATTGAATATCCCATGTATGCCTGTTACTGCGCGTTTATTGAGTTCGCAGGCTGCAATTGAGAAATCCACTTCTGATGGGCTCACGGTGGAGGGTATAATTGCTAATGGTTGGACCATATATGATGAAAATGAGAGTGATTGGAAAAGCCATGCCTCTGCCATCGCTCAGTCAATTCATCTTATCAAGAAACGCCTGAGGGTACTGCAACACATCTACAACATGTTTCCATATGTTAATTGGTTTATCATTTTCTATTAATCTGAATGAGACTAGGTTCATGACACTCTGATGATTTGGATTGTATCTTACTAATGTTCTGTGTTTAGATTATTTGTCCAATTGTGTGAATGTTTCAAATGCAATAATTTGCTATGTGTTTTTGGTTACTTGCCAAATTGGACGTTTCAACTGCAATAATTGAAAAAGAATCAAGCAAAGTTCACTCTTTGAATTCTAGGGATGGATTTTGGATTTGAAATAAACTGTATATATGAGATAGAATTGTCTGTTATATGGTCATTTAGGGTGGCAGAATAGTGAACATGAGTGTTTTGAGAGAAACTTGTATTGTTAATGTCCAGACGTGAATGATTTTAAACTATTATGAGTTTTTCAGTTTATTGTGGTGTTAACACTTAAATTTTATCATTTTCATCCTTTTCTGGTGGCAGTGGAAAAAGTTAATACCTAAGTTGGAGATATTATCTGATCAGCTGAGTAAGCCAGACCTGTGGAATGATCCAGTGCATGCCGGGAAGATAAGCTGTGAGCACGGTTCACTTATGGGAAAAATGAAAGAGGTTAATGCATTTGAGCAAGAACTTCTTGAGCATATTGAAATGATAAAACTTGCTCGGGAAGAGAACGATGCAGAATTGGAATCGGTGGGGCCTCAGTTATTCTCTTTCTAGGCATGTATCTTTCTGTTCTATTTAGTGTTTCACACTGTTTCTACTTTTGGCAGGAAACAACTCATTTCTATTTTTTCATTACTATTCCTAAATTCATATGGCCTCATTAACACTATAAACATTTATCAAAGTTAATTGGATCGTGTAATTGAATTTACATGACTAAAGCTTGTTGAGAGAAAAGTTAATTGTGTATACATATATATATTTAATATAATGAATTTTAAATAAAAGGAGGTTAATTAAATAATAATTTAAATACAAGAAAATGTAGTTAGAAAGGCTGATGGTTTGGAGAGTAGTGTAGAACACTGTCCTTAAGTGTTATCTTCTCCAGATGTCTATGTTTGCCCCCCATTTTTCCAAAAATTAATTTTTTCAAAACTCATTTTCAACCACACATTTAAATAATTTTACACGTAGTCTCAAAATTTTTCTTTACTTTTTAACCATACATTCTCCAACAAAACACTATTCTAAAATGTATTTTCGCCAAAAATAAATAATTGGGCTCAAACAAGGGCATAATCTCTATTCACATTCATTTTGGTGGCGTTTTAGTTTTGGGGATGATGTAGATATTGAAACTGTGATTCTTCCACAGGAGTTACTTTCAAATTAACTTTTTATTCTCCTAAGTAAATTAACTTTTTATTCTCCTAATTACAGGAATCTCAAAATACTCTACTTACAATGAGAAGAAATATCAAGGAAAAAGAGCTTGAAGCTTTGTTAGCTGGGGAGCATGATTCTTGTTCTTGCTTCATAGAGGTAAACATTGTGAATGACCATCTTTTTAGTGCTTCTAAAATATCAATAGAGAGTTGCTTCTGATTTTTTATTCCCCATGTAAAAATTTGTAATTGTTTGTGATTTCTTTATGGATTCTGTAACCTGTTTTAGTGGAATAATTATCAGGATGTGATTGCACTCATTTAATCGTTTAGGTGAAAACAATCTTTTTCCACTAATTATAGGTTCAAGCTGGAGCTGGTGGTACCGAGAGCATGGACTGGGCTTCAATGGTCATGCAGATGTATAAGAAGTGGGCTGAACGTCGAGGCTTTGGAGTTACCGTTGTGGATGAAATGCCTGGCGAGATGGCAGGAATCAAGGTTGATGTTCTTACCACCTTTATGTTTTTAACGTTTAATATATTTTTTGGTGTTAATAGAGTCTGTGCACGCTATATTGCCTCTTGGACAACAGTTGATTGTCGTCGTTGGCCCTTTGATATAAACCTGGTTTATAGGAAGTAGTGCTATTCCATAACCAGTGCTTTGTGCCTCTCTTCCTAATATTAGATGACATAAGTTATTATCATATTAGCAACTTCAAACATAAAACAAATCGCTTCTGTTATTATCTCGAAATATTTATTCTCAATATATTTCTTTCCTCGTCTTCGTTACATTCATTTTTAACTGGACAATATCAGAGAAATCATATATGCGAATTTCACTTGAATTATTTATGTTATTGTCTCGACAATTTCTATTAATTTTCTAAACTTTACACAATTGCATCTTTAAGCGGGCAACAATCAGAGTTGATGGCGAGTATGCATTTGGATATGCCAAAGCAGAAGTTGGGGCACACCGTTTAGTACGGATCTCACCGTTTGACAGCAATAAGCGCAGGCATACTTCATTTGCTTCTGTAGCTGTAATTCCAATTCTAGGTGATGGATTTTCCCGTGTGCAAATTAATGAATCTGACCTTCGAATTGAGCGATTTCGAGCTGGGGGAGCTGGGGGTCAGCATGTTAACACAACTGAGAGTGCTGTGCGGATAACTCACATTCCTACTGGAGTAAGTGCCTCTTGTCAAAATGAAAGGTATGCAGCCTTTTCTGGTTAAAAAGCTGTGAGTTGCCCACTTGTACAGTTGTTTCACTTTGGTCGCCAAACTCTTTTTTCCTCCCCAAATTAATCACTGAAGTTTCACCTTTTTCACGTTTAGACACGCTGTCTGCTAAATTAACAGAATTAATTAGTTGACTAACAAACACTGTAAGTCTATAACAGGACTTGAAAAATCACAAGTGCATGGTTTTATTGTGTAACTAGAAAAAGTGTCTTGTTAAACTAGTTCTTCATTTTTAAACGTGCTTTTCCAAGGTTAAT